CCCTTAATTCACTGAGCTTTCTCCCCAGTGCCCTCTTTTTGTTGGTGTGTGTGTGTGTGTGTGTGTGTGTGTGTGTGTGTTAGTGTTATATTTACTTCTTAGTGTGGGTGGGTGCACAAATGCTTATGCATGTTGGGTCAGAGGTTGTGTGTTTTTATTCAATTGCTCTCCATCTTTATTAAGAAACCTTTTAAAAATATTTTGCTTTTTATTTTATTTTATGTGTATGCGTGTATTTCCTGCATGTAGGTAAGTGCACCCATGTTGTGCAATGCCCTCGGAGGACGGAAGAGGCTGTCGGATCCTTTGGAACTGGAGTTACAGACAGTTGTTAGCAGCCATGTGGGTGCTGGGATTCGAACCCAGGTCTTCTGCAAGAACAGTCAGTGTTCTTATCCACTGAGCCATCGCTCTAGCCCCTTAAAAAATATTTTTAATGTTATGTGTATGAGTGTTTTGCTTGTATGTATGTAAGTGCACCTTATGCATGCAATGCCCATAGAGGCCAGAAGAGGATATTAGATCCTCTGGAATTAAAGTTGACAGTTGTGAGACACCATGTAGGTGTGGGGAACCAATCCCCAGTCCTCTGTAAGAGTAGCTGGTGCTCTTAACCACTGAGCCATCTCTCTGGCCCTCAACACCTTCATTTAAAAAATTATTTATTTATTATTTTATTTATATGCATGTATTGCCTGCATGTATATAAGTGCACCTGTATCATGCAACACCTGAGGAGGTCAGAAGAGGGTGTCAGAGCCCCTGGAACTGAAGTTATAGACAGTTGTTAGCTGCCATGTGGGTACTGGGATTTGAACCTGGGTCTTCTGCAACAACAGCCAGTGCTCTTATCCACTGAGCCATCTCTCTAGCCCCCACCTTCATTTTTTGAGACAAGGTCTCTTTCTGAACCCAAAGTTCATCAGTTATGGCTAGACTTGTTGGCCAATGAGCTCCAGGGGTTGGCCTATCTTTCCCTGCCTCTCCTGATTTACATAGGTTCTGGGCTCAGGTCCTCATGTCTGTGTGGCAGGCACTTTATCAACTGAATTAACTGCCCAGTCCTCTCTTTTTCAGTATGCGTCTCAGACACAGATGGAGCTAAACGGAGTCCTTGGCTTATGACATGCTGTCAGCAATTGTGTGGACATGGCCCGACATGTATCATTTAATGTGGTTTAGAACTGCCCACCCCACAGGACAGAACAGGCCCAATATGTGCTACCTGCCTCATACATGACATCCGACCCTCAGTGCTCTCTTGGAAGTCACCAGGATCCTGAGGGTTGAGCTGCTTATTCCCTGACTTACCTTGTTTTCCGTGTCATTGTACGTATGATTATCTAAATAATACCCCTTTGTTTTTACTTGCATATTGACTTTATGTTAAAAGCCACCGTACTGTGTAGTCTTTTTTTTTTCATCTCAGTACTGTTGATGAAAATCTGTTTAGGTCCTGTATGATTTTGATTCAGTCATTCCACAGGCTGCGTGAGACTATGCTGTTATTTATTTACTTACTTATTTGTCCTCCCATTAATTGCTAATTGGATTGCTTTCAGGTCTTCTGTGATGCAACTGATGCTGTGGGTCTTCCCTATGCATCCCTCACCTCTGCATGCAGGTGGGGACCTGCAGCCCTGGCTTCTCTGGGTCTGAGCAGGAACCTGCATTTTCACGAGGTTCCTGAAGGGTAATGTTTGAGAAGTTCTGGGGGCTGCGTGCACATGGCAGCAGTGGAGGTGCTGGGTTCTCAGGGGTGTCCTGGCTCCAGTGGTATGTTAACGCTGCCAGTGCTGTGGTCCTTGCTGGCTTTTGGGGTTGTCTCAGTCATTTCTGCTGGTCAAAGCATGTGGAACTTGTCAGGCATGTTGGCACACACCTTCAATCCTAGCACTCGGGAGGCAGAGGCAGGTGGATCTCTGTGAACTGGAGGCCAGCCTGGTCTACATACTGAGTTCCAGGTGGGCTGGGACTAGGGAGACCCTGTCAAAACCAAACCATCCAAACAAACATATTCATATATGTATGTGACATGAAAGTGAAAGAAACCAGCAAGGGGGGAAGGACAGGGGAGGAAGGTGGAATGGTGAGCCATGATGTGTTGTGTTGAAGATGTCATGATGAGCCCACTATTTTAATATTAACTAAAAAAATGAATGAGAAAGTCTGAATTGATGATTTCTCTTGGAAAAATGAGAAGACATACCCTCCCTGGGCCTTCTTTCCCATATGGCTAGTCGGTTGCTGCAGTATTACAGCCATTACAGCCCTTAACTAACTCTCTCTCTCTCTCTCTCTCTCTCTCTCTCTCTCTCTCTCTC